ACGCCCCATCGCCATCAGCCAGCATCAAGTCCGATAACGAGGGCGATGAGGATGGACCCAACGCGCCATCCCAACCCATCCAGAAGCGACGGCGAGTAACACGCGCTTGCGACGAATGCCGCCGAAAAAAGATCAAGTGCGATGGCAAACAACCTTGCACACACTGCTCCGTCTATAGTTATGGTATGAGGCCGGCTCGATTTCCTCCCTCGCCCAATACGCCCATTTTTCGATCCCCTGATCCCCACGACCGACAGCGACGCGCGAGCTAACCTTGACCCATAGAATGCACATACGACAAACCCTCAAACAGAAGAAGGAATCCGGCACCACAGTATATCGAGGCTCTGGAAAGCCGTCTGCAACGCGCAGAATCACTATTACACAAATTCATGCCAGATGTCGACCTGGCCGACCCCAATCTTGACCCAGCCATTCAACAAGAATTCCGCAATCGAGAAAATGCACGAGCACAAGCCGCCAAGGCTCGACAGCCCCAGCCCCAGCCGCCCCAGCCCGACCCGAATGACGCTCACCTCACCTCCATGATCGATTCGGTCGGCCAGCTTGATCTTGACGAAAAGGGCAGCTGGGATTTCCACGGTATCTCATCCGGCGCCGTCTTCTTGAAACGCATGAAGGAGCATTTTAGGGGAATGCTTGGTCCTACAGGAAAGGCACCCTTTTTACCACGCGCCGAACGACCTCCGGGTCTCGAGTCACCATCTCTATCCTCCGTTGGGACGCCATTCTCTGCCGTATCGAGTTATCCCGAGCTACCACCCAAAGACGTCGCCAGGAAACTATGTTACTATTCTCTTAGCTGCGCGACCTGTCTAGTTCGAATTGTTCACGTTCCCACTTTCTACGAAAATATGGAAAAGATTTATGACCGACCGCTTGACAACTTGACCAAGGAGGAAACGCAATATCTTGGATTACTCTTCTCTGTCATGGCTCTCGGCTGCATGTACAACAATCTTGACGACAACGACCCTGGAAGCATGGCTTATCGAGAAGCGACGGAAGAAGGTCTCAAATATTACAATGCGGCACGATCCGTACTACAAGACCTCACGGATTGCCGCGATCTCATCTCATTACAAGCTCTCTTATTCGTCATCCTCTTTCTTCAAGCAACATCAAACCTCAGCAGCTGCTACTCTTTCGTCGGCATCGCACTCCGTTCGTCACTACGAATTGGTCTGCATCGACACTTGCAGCACGAAAAAATCGACACCATCGAGCAAGAAGTCCGCAAGCGCGTTTTCTACGTGATTCGACAGATGGATATTTATGTTTCAACACTACTCGGCTTTCCTCTCCTCCTCAATGTCGACGATATCGACCAGCCTTTCCCCACAGAGGTGGACGATGAGTACATTACATCGACTGGAATCCTACAACCACCTCCCGGATCCTCATCTTTCTTCCAGGCTTTCAACGCCCATTCAGAACTGATGGAAATTTTGTCCAAGGTCACAAAATACGTGTACCCAACCAAAGGACTGGGTCAAAGTGTCGCTACTAAGGATAGCGCACCCGCTTCAACCTATCTGATCAGCTATGGCCGGATCAAGGAAATTGAAGCTGACCTTCACTCATGGTTTGAGAGGCTGCCTCAGCATTGGCGACCAAGTGGTGAGGGTCCGATAGAAACGGTCCGGTGAGTAGTTGGTCCTTGAAGACTCAGACTGAAGTGCTAATCCGAGAAATAGCATCCGACATCTGCTCCGATTTGCTTATGCGCATGTGCAACTTGTGCTATACCGACCATTCCTACATTATGTCTCTCCTCGCCTGAGCCAAGGGAACAAGGTCGACGAGCTGTCATACGCTTGTGCGGCAGCTGCTATCAGCGTGTCTCGGAATATCGTGCACATTGGCCTGGAGATCCGGAAACAGCGTGTGCTCAGCGGACCTTATTGGTTCATGTTGTACACCGAGTTCTTTGCTGTGCTCTCACTTGTGTTTTACGCCACAGAAAATCCCGAGAAGCCTGGCTCTGGAGAGGTTCTCGCGGATGCCCGCGCCGGAAGGCAGATGATTGCAGCACTGGCAGAAAAGAGCATGTCGGCAGAGAGAGTGACGAATGCTCTCAAGGTATGTTTCCCCCTTTCGTGTAAGTCATTCTTATTAACATGACGGATTTAGGTCTTGTTTGACCAACTGCCTGAGCAATTGGATGCTGGACGTGTGCGACCAGCTCCCTCCAAGAAGAGGTCGGCACCCACTGGGCGACCATCGTCTGTGTCGTCTCACCACACTCCGATCCCTGCAAGCATGTCGTCACTCGGAACGGCCGATTTCACTCGCACCAGCCAGATCTCGACCAGCTCGTATCCGACCACACTCTCCCAGGGCACTATTGATCCCATCGCGGGCGCGAATATGCCAGGCTTCCAGGATAACGGATTCTCGGCCAACTTTGGCGACTTTATGCCGGTTGACATGCAGCGAGGCACGCCTGAATCGACCAGCAGCACGGCGACAAGCACACAGCGAAACCCTTACACGGGACAGCCGCTCAGCATCCACAACCCCGTCAACAAGCTCGACTCGCTCATGTTTCCCTCTGAGGATCCTTTTGCGTACCCGAACCAGCCTATGATGGAACTCGGATTCCCCAGCAAAACCGAGCAGTCTTCCAGCATGGGTGATCATAATCAGGACATGCAGCTCTTCCTGACTGGAACGTTTGATGATGTGGAGAGCCAAATCTTTGGACAACCACCACCATACATGATGCACCAGCAGGGCCAGCCCATGATGGGTATGCCGGGTCAAATGTACAACCCGTCAAGCGTGATGGGCATGCAGCAGGGCCAGCCAATGATGCAACGCCGGCCGATGTCGCAGACGCACGCAATTCATCAGGGACATTCGATCTCAAACCGGAGAGCACACACACAACGCCACCAAGAAAGGCAAATCCAGCAAATGTTTACGGAGCAGGGAATGCAGGCGGACTGGGGAGGTTTCTTTGGTTCTGGAAGAGGAGGATTTCAAGGAATGTAACGGTCTCTACATTTGATACCCACTTTACGATACGGGAGGAAGGAAAGCGCGCGAGGCGTTGGCCATTGAATTTCACTTTGTCTTTTTATTCGGGGGGAGAGCGATTATGATTTGAACGATGAGCGCCGGGATGATGGCTGTAGGCGAGGATAGGGGGAACCGGGCAACGCCAGCGACGCAAGGACGAAAAAAGAGGACCACATTCTTAGAGAGATGGACCGGGCACATAGACGGGGCGCGATTGGATGTATATACATGGAAGGTCTCGGGAATGTGTAGGATGGATATACGCAGTAGACCGACATGTTGGGTTGGGAGGATATGATAGGGGTGAAGGGATGAGATGGGATGTAGGACGAGGAAAGCTGCATCTTGTCAAGGAGTGCATCTTGTCATGGATATAGATGTAATGATATTTGCCTTGAGGGCATGAAGAAGCAAAAGCTGTTCTGTGTGAAGAAAGTGTTGAGGCCAAGATAGCCACTTGCCGAGGCGCTATGGATGATTAGATGAGATGGACAACTTCCATGATAGGACTGGGGCTATTGGCACATGCTTGAGAGGTGTCTTGGAGCTTGTATGCATATGATTAGAGGCGCTCTAGATCATCCAAGACAAGGGGTAGAGTAACTTGCTACGTAGTATTTTCCCTCGACAATGAATTACACGTGAATCTTGGACGCCAACTCCCGTCCTCAACATTTGGATCGGGGCTGGTTGCGTCATGAGGTCGATGCATTAGTATCGGGTCGAGGCGAATGGCACCAGCCACCAAACGTTAGCAGTTGGGGCGGGTAGCTATGGTTGCAGGGCGTTATCGCTGAGACGCGATACGCTGAGCTAAGCCGTCGAGCACCGCAACGGGACGGGAACTGGCGCATTCTGGGAGGAGACCTAGATACGGGCTGTGCCGGTCGGAGCTTCATATTGCGTCTTTGTCCTTTCACACAAGGTTAGGTTTCTCATACCTCATACTTCATACCTGACATTCTCCGAGCTCAACAAGGCTACGCTGGCCTTCCTCTCTCGACTCTATTCATCTGGCAAGCTCAACAGTCTGCGACACCGGTCATGGCAGCTCTCACAACGCCGCCCAAGCTGGTCGGCGGGGATGACCGGCGAGACGCGCCGCTAGCACGTGAAAGAAACACCATCCACTTCGAACTTGTGCCCGAGGACGAGTTTGACGCGCTGTGAGAATCCTTGTTCGTCTCTGAGCGTTTCTGAGCTGCTGGCTAACCGCGCGGTAGATGCATCGAGGTCAAGAAGGGTAACGAGGGCCCGAGCAGTCGGAGTAGCGGTAACAAGTATCCCGGTATGCGACCAGCTCACCAATCTCACCCGTTGAGGGTCTATTCCTTGCTGACCGTTGAATCGTAGCAAAACTCCATGCCCGCAAGGTCGCCGCCGAGCTTGGTGCTACTGACGGCCTCATCTATCTTCCCGGTGAACCCACTCGGCTCTACGAGGACTCGGATCAGTCGCCTCCTTTCAAACAACGCAGATAGTCAGTCACCTGTTACTCATACCGATGAGCCGTCTTCTAACAAACACCCAGCTTCTATTATCTGAGCGGTGTCGACTTTCCCGACTGCTCCGTCACTTACGAGATAGCACATGATCGCCTCACTCTCTGGATCCCCTACGTTGAGCCACGACAGGTGCTATGGTACGGTGCCACTCCCGACGCCGCGGAGGCGATGCGCCGCTTCGATGTGGATGATGTTCGATACACGGCTCAGCTGCCCAAGTTTCTCCATGGCCACCTCCGACCGGCCACGACTCTCTACGTCCTCCACCCGGACCAGGCTCCTAAGCTGGCCGACCGTCCTCGTGGACAGACGCAGATTAACTGTTCCAAGCTGCGGCCTGCCATGGACCAAGCTCGAGTGATCAAGACAGACTATGAGGTTGCGCTTATTCGCCGTGCTGCGCGTATCTCGGCAGCTGCTCATCGTGCTGTGGCTGAACGCATCCTCAGCATGCGGAATGAGCAGGATGTTGAAGCTGTTCTCCTCTCAGCCTGCACCTCCCGTGGTGCTCATGCCCAGGCATACCCCATCATTGCTGGAGCCGGTCCCAACGCCTCTACTTTGCATTACGAGGCCAACAACCAGTCTCTGGAAGGAAAGCAGGTCATTGTCGTCGATGCTGGCTGTGAGTGGCAATGCTACGCCAGCGATATCACTCGGACACTTCCCCTCACCGGTACCTTCACCAAAGAGGGTGCTGCTATCCATGCTATCGTCCAGCGTATGCAAGATGAATGTATAGCGCGGATCCGCCCTGGCTGCATCTTCTATGAGCTTCATCTGCACGCCAGCGACGTGGCCATTCAGGGGCTGCGAAAATTGGGCATCCTGCGAGGCAACTTTGATGAGATTCAAAAGGCTGGCACCGTCGCTGCTTTCTTTCCTCACGGCCTGGGTCATCACGTTGGCTTGGAGGTTCACGACGTGACGGGCGCTGAACGTCTCTTGATGAGAGACAACTTCCACATCGAGGGTGGAAAGCGTGAGATGGTTACGGCCACAGCCCTGGTCGCTCTGCAGCGAATGGTAGCTGCGCCGCCACCTTATAAGGGACGACAGGCTCTTCGACCCAACATGATTGTTACGGTTGAGCCTGGAATGTAAGTGTAACTGTCTTCACTGTGACCTCCTTGGAGCTAACTGGGTCCCTTAGCTACTTCTGCCGACCTTTCATCGAGGGATACTTCCTCAACAACTCGGCACACGCCAAGTTTATCGACCGCAATGTCCTCGAAGCCTATTATCCCGTTGGGGGCGTTCGTATTGAGGATGATATCCTTGTCACATCTGATGGACATGAGAACCTCTCCGCTGGCGCACCCAAAGGTGATGAGCTGCTGGATGTGATAAACGGTAGCTTTGAGAAGATTTGAGAGCTGGTAAGAGGGCAATATGCTCAGCGAGCAGTGGGGTTAATATGAGAAGCGCGTGAGGAGTATATATGGCATATGCATTGACTACCTTGTCTTTTGCTTGCCTTGGTCAGTTCAGCGCTTGGCTTAGTTTCTGGAATGAGAATGATATAGGACAACACAGGTCAGCAGGCGGCACTATTGGTATCAATTTATGGAATTTATCATGCTCATTGCTACCCAAAACATAAACTCTCGCATGTGCAGCTCATACATCTAATATACAAGAACACATTGACGATTAAGGAAAGGCGTGAAGTCGTAACAACCTCACTCTACTAGATACACAACCGCCTACCCACCAGTTATAAACCCTCGGATACACCCAAGGCATCCGCTTACAAGTACTTCTTGGGCATGGTGTCCCGCCGCCGCTTGTAGATGACATAGGCGGCAACGAGGGCGAGCTGGGTGCCGAGGAAGAAGAGAACCAGGAAGCGGTGGCCGGGGGTGCTGGCCATGACGGCCTGGGAGAGCGAGTTGTGATGGCTCGAGAGGACATCGCGGACGGAGCGCTCGGTGGACTGCAGCTTGCGGGTAAGGTCCTTGCGGAGGCCCTTGACCTCCTTCTCGAGCTCGATGACGCGGGTCTGCAGCGCCGTGATGTCGTCGAGCTTTCGCATGTCGGCGCGAAGCTGGCCGATGAGGTTGGTCACCTCCTCGTGGCGCTTGACGTCCTCTTGCTGGTGGCGCGACGAGGTGCGGTGCAGGGATGAGAGCTGGTGGTTGGTGTTTTGGAGACGGTTGTGGAGGTCCATGAACTGCGTCTTGGACGTCTGGAAGATATCGGGGTCCTCATCGGCGTAGTCGCCCTCGGCGGTCTCCCTCTTAGGGGGAGCGCCTCGGCTAGGGGGGCTCTTGTTGGGCGTCTGCTGCTGCTGCTGCTGCTTCTTGGGAGGGTCGTTGTTGCGGACGGGGGCTGAATCGGAATTGTCGGCCATGACCACCACCTTGAAGACCTCGAACGAATCCGGGTTGTCGGGGGTCGCGGCCGTGACACCGAACTGGTAACCGGTGGGGATGCTGAAGCTGCCAGACTCGAAGCACAGGTTGCCGTCGACCTCGACGCGGAACGAAGTGGATGTCTGTCGGAGCTTGATCTGCGAGGGTCGACCCAGATTTCGGTAGTTGTAACCGCAGTGACCAAACGACAACTCATCGACGTTGTTCTGCCTCGTGAAGTCGACGGTGCCGTCGTTGAGGAAACCACGGACCATACCGCCCGCGCCGCCGTGTGTGTCCACCACAAGAGCCAGACCGTCAAACTTGCCAACAGTGTAGATGCTGCCGGAGCCGACAGAGGCAGGACCGTTGCGGACTAGCCAGATGTTGAGGTTGCCTCGGCCGCGATCGGGCCCGTTGGCTCGGAAGTCGAAGTCGGCGATCCATTGGTTGCGGAGCAGAGGCTGCTGACCCCAGACGGCACCGCGCTGGTTACCGGGAGCAAGAGGCGTGAGGATGATGCGGTTGGAGAGAACCTCTGGCATCTGGGGGATGCCCTGGAGGGCAAAGTTGGGGATCTCCCCGCGGGATTCTGGGGGACTTATCCTAGACGAGGGGGTCAGCGACACACGAGGGTTGTACTACACGGGAAGAACAGCAACAAACCTTCCAGCATGACCGAAACTGAGCTCGCTGATGAGGTATTGCGCCTCTGAGAGGCCTGCTGCCAGCAGCGCAGCCAAAGATAGAGAGAAACGCATGTCGAAGAGAGACGTAGGTGGCTCCAAGCTGCAAGAGGCCGGTTCAACAAACAAGGGAGAACAAAGGGCGGTCGCTGACGAGAGCGCTCAACCTCGTGACTGGACAACAAAAACGTCCGTCTATCTACCCAAGCTTGGGGGTTTGGATTGTCGAAGGGAGGGGAGTGGAGAGAATGGTACGAGCAGAAAAGGCGGGCAAGGCTGAGGACACTTTGCACTATCAACGATGGAATTGGGCCCCTGGACGGTCTTTTTTTGGCGGTGGAGGGCACCAATAGAAGAAACAGAAACCCAACCTCGTCAGAAAAAGATATCAAGACAATGAACAGGGCTAACGAAGCTATACAGAAGATCTCAATTCTCCAGTCAAAGGAAAAGGGAGAAAAGAAAACAATTGAACAAATGCTTGCAGGGAAAAGGGTCTCATGAGGGGGGCGGCTGTTGGAGTGTGGGTTGATGAAGCCACACGCGACAGCCACGACAAGCCCAGTTTAACTCAGCCTTGAGGAATGCCCCTGAAGGGACCTAGTAGATGCCAAATTCGGCCATTTAATGTCAGTAAACTCATGACATACATACAAATAACTACTATAACAACAGAAGAGACATTCAATCATTTACTTCATATCCCTTTCAGTGCTTGCCTCTCTCAACTCGTCTCTCTTTCAGCTCACACTGAATCATTGTGGCTAGTTTGACATGCAGCTGTCTTTCGGTTATTGGTGGGATCCAGCTCAACCCCAGAAGAACAAGGCCAGGGGTTCAAGAAGCTCGGGCCCTCGCTAGCGGAGGAGCATCGCATCCTTCTAGAAGCACGACGAGGTTGGAAGAGATGGACACAAGATGCAGAGACTGAATTTCTTTTCAATGTCGATTGTTACTATATAACGGCCTGTATCCAATATGAAGTCTCTATTCACTATCATCATTGCCTAATAGGATCATTCACAGTCAACTTCCAACCTCCCCCAGCTTCAATGGAACGATGGGTACACATTTCCCCATTCGGCTTAGTGGGGACCCTACTCCAAAAAAGAACAACGAGCCAATCTCTGACTCCTGAGAGCTCCTCATCATGATTGCTCCCCAACAGCAGCACGCACCGCACCCCTTCATCTCTTCCCTGCCAGTGTCATGAGGCCGAGTTAAAAAGTCCACACTCGGCGACACACCATCACCATGAGCGAGTCGTACCCGACCTTGACGCAGACGGCGCTGGTGGCTGCTGCTTTCAAGATCCTCTTGTTCCCAGCCTAGTGAGTTCCCGGAGCTCCCATCATGCCTTAGGTAGAGCTAACCACCTCGTCAACACAGCAAATCCACCGATTTTGAAGTTCACCGCAATTGGCTCGCCATCACTGAAAGCCTCCCCTTGGACAAGTGGTACTTTGAAAAGACGTCGGAGTGGACCCTCGACTACCCGCCCTTCTTTGCCTACTTCGAATATGTCCTCGCCCACGTCGCCCGCCTCGTCGACCCCCTCATGGTCAAGGTCTACAACCTCGACTACGATAGTTGGCAGACGGTCTACTTCCAGCGGACCACCGTGATCATCACCGAGCTCGTTCTTGTTTGGGCTCTCCAGTCGTTTATCGATTCCACGCCTCTCAAATCGCGACGCGCCGCGCAAGTCGCCGCTCTGTCCATTGTCCTCTCCCCGGGTCTGCTCATCATCGACCACATTCACTTTCAGTACAATGGCTTCATGTACGGCATCTTGGTGATGTCTCTGGTGCTAGCGCGCAACAAGGGAACTCTCCTGTATAGTGGACTCGTGTTCGCCGCGCTGCTCTGCTTCAAGCACATCTACCTGTACCTGGCCCTGGCCTACTTTGTCTTTCTCCTGCGGGCGTACTGCCTGTCGCCCAAGTCCATCTTCCGAATCCGTTTCCTTAACTGTATCAAGCTCGGTGTGGGTATCGGGTCCATCTTTGGAGCTGCCTTTGGCCCATTTGCGGCCATGGGTCAGATTCCGCAGCTCTTGAGCCGACTGTTTCCCTTTTCGCGGGGTCTTTGCCATGCTTACTGGGCACCCAATGTCTGGGCCCTCTACTCCTTTGCGGATCGCGTTCTGATCCATGGTGAGTTCACTACGTTGCAAATGAGATCTCTTGTCGCTAATTCATCATAGTTGCCCCGCGACTTGGCTGGGCGGTTAACCAGGGTGCATTGCAAAGCGTCACTCGCGGCCTTGTCGGAGACACTTCGTTCGCTGTTCTGCCTGAGATCAGCCCCAGAACGTGTTTCATCCTCACACTCGTCTTCCAGGGTCTGCCGCTTCTCAAGCTGTTCTCGCAGCCTACTTGGGAGAACTTCATTGGCGCCGTCACCTTGTGCGGTTATGCCTCTTTCCTCTTCGGCTGGCACGTCCATGAAAAGGCCATCCTCCTCGTCATCATCCCTTTCAGTCTCATTGCCTTGCGTGATAGACGACACCTAGGCGCATTCCGGCCTCTCGCCGTTGCAGGCCATGTGTCTCTCTTCCCGCTCCTCTTCACGCCCGCTGAGTTCCCTGTCAAGACCATCTACACCATCATGTGGCTGGTGGTGTTCCTCATGGCATTTGACCGTCTCGCTCCAGCGTCCAACAAGCCCAGAATCTTCCTCCTGGACAGGTTCAGCACTCTGTACATCGCAGTGAGCATCCCGCTCATTCTGTACTGCTCGCTTCTACACCAAATCATATTTGGAAAGAACTACGAGTTTCTACCATTGATGTTTACCAGCTCGTACTCCGCAATTGGAGTTGTCGGCAGCTGGGTGGGCTATATGGTGGTGTATTTTACCGCATAACAGGTGTATATAGCAAAGATACCCTAAAATAATTTCCTATTGTTTATAAAACGCTATAAGATTCTGAAACCACCAAATCTTCCTATCTAGGCAGGTATCTAGAAAAGGGGAAACCCAGTCAATAATGCCTTCCATCCTCACTTCTATGAAGCCCCTGGCGGATTTGCTCGGGAATGTTTCGAGCTACATCAGCAGCTGAGTCATCCAAATTTGTGGGGCTCTTCCACGTGAAGCGCAAGGCTGAACGCCCCTTTGGTCTAAGAACCTCCAGCTTGGTCCCCTAGGATCCAGGCATCCTCCAGATCGACGCCAAAACCCAGAAAAGCCAGGCATTTCATTATGGCGGCCTAGAACGGCATGCAGGGGGATATCAGGAGCTAACACGGCCAAATTAAATATGTTCTGCCTGGACATGATGTTGCTCATACGACGCGTTCAAGTTGAGTTATGGAAACTTGCGATATC